ACGGGGCCATATTGCATACGTTTAACGATATACCTTGTGTGTATATACGGAGCCATATTGCATACGTTTAACCTATACCTTGTGTGTATATACGGGAACATATTGCATACGTTTAACGCTATACATTGTGTGTATATACGGAGCCATATTGCATACGTTTAACGCTAAACCTTGTGTGTATATACGGGGCCATATTGCATACGTTTAACGCTATACATTGTGTGTATATACGGAGCCATATTGCATACGTTTAACGCTATACATTGTGTGTATATACGGAGCCATATTGCATACGTTTAACGCTATACATTGTGTGTATATACGGAGCCATATTGCATACGTTTAACGCTATACATTGTGTGTATATACGGAGCCATATTGCATACGTTTAACGCTATACATTGTGTGTATATACGGAGCCATATTGCATACGTTTAACGCTATACATTGTGTGTATATACGGAGCCATATTGCATACGTTTAACGCTATACATTGTGTGTATATACGGGGCCATATTGCCATATAAAGACGACTATGCTTGTCGTAAGAGGTGACTATGCTTGTCGTAAGAGGTGTTCATGCTTGTCGTAAGAGGTGACTATGCTTGTCGTAAGAGGTGACTATGCTTTTCGTAAGAGGTGACTGTGCTTGTCGTAAGAGGCGACTAACGGGATCGGGTGGTCAGGCTCGCTGACTTGGTTGATGCATTTCATCGTATCCCAATTGCGTAGATTGGTGCTTATAATATCAATCACTGGATTGTCTGGTCTAGACGCAGTTATTTACAGACCACCGTCATGTAGCTGGAATATTGCTGAGTACCGCGTTAAACAACAAACAAACAAACAAACAAACAAACCAGCATAGTTTGGGGAGCTGATACACCCCGGAAGTTCCACAGGATTCTGTTCTTTGTGACCATCCTGAAATTGACTTGTTAATGTGTAACCCACGTATGACTAATGCATTCTGTACCTTCCCATCTGGCTGTGTCAATCTACCTATATAAATGTGTAGCGTATTGATCTATATGTAGCAGACACCGGGTGTCCGGGCTAGAGGTAGCCTCGAAATGTTGTGTAAAGGATAAAATGTTATCCATATACCTTGTGTCTGTTGAAGCCACCCATTTCTAAACGCCTTTCATAGCAGTGGAGGGGCCCAGTGGTTAAAGCGTTCGCTTGGCAGGGGTTTCGAGTCCCCATATTCGTACTTTGTGTGACTATAAACCGCCAATGCCAGAGATAACCCGGCCTTGATTATCCGACAAAACACTCCCTTGGGCACAAAAGGAAAAGAATATCATAGGAGAGGACCACTGACAGTGATGACACCAGGGCCCACTTGCACAAAGCGATCTTAGCGCTACAACTGTCGTAAGGCTATGTTGAAGTATGGGAGTTACGATCATCTTAGTGCAAAGATCGCTTTGTGCAAGCGGGCCCAGGTGTTCGCCCATGTTGTGTCCCCCGCCATGATGGGCTGATATTGTTAAAAGCGACGTAACACCCGACCCCCTCACTCACTAACTGCCTATCAAAGAGAGGACGTCTGATGCGTTATTGGAAATGGCGGTATCACAGTCTGGCGATTATTCAATGTTGCAGTCTGTTGAATGTACCTGTGCTGGCCACTCTGACAGATAATGGGAGCGGGTTGCTCGGTATTGATCCCCGAGATGCCATGTGAAATGTTTCTGTCCTTATATGAGTTGGCAGTGCAATTTTGGTGACGGTTTTGACTTGGTCCCTGATTCATGGACAGCCAGTTGGAATTACATCAGTCTGCAGCAGAGTACACATCTATCTATCTATCTATCTATCTATCTATCTATCTATCTATCTATCTATCTATCTATCTATCTATCTATCTATCTGTCTGTCTATATGTCTGTCTGTCTGTCTGTCTGTCTGTCTATCTATCTATCTATCTATCTATCTATTTATCTGTCTTTCTATCTATCTATCTATCTATCTATCTATTTATCTATTTATCTATCTATTTATCTATCTATCTGTCTATATGTCTATCTATCTATCTATCTGTCTATATGTCTATCTCTCTATCTATCTGTCTATATGTCTGTCTATCTATCTATCTATCTATCTATCTATCTGTCTATATGTCTATCTATCTATCTATCTATCTATCTATCTATCTGTGTAGGTACTCTTCTCAGTATGCAGCAACGCGAACTCTGATATGTAAATACATACAATTTGTATCCATCGTTAATACCAGAGATTAGAGAGCGACGACCGACATATGGTTGCCCATTATTGACGCCATAAAACATACAGCATTAGATGCTACCGATACCACGATGGTGTCTCTATCAGAACCGTCAGGGAACACGGTGTACATGCATATGTGTAAAACGTCACACGTTCCAGATAGGGCTCTGTCGTCTGTAGTGGCCATAAGCACGGTATACCTTCTGAATATATACGGGAACATGTTGCATACCTTTAACATATATGCCTTGTGTGTATATACGGGGCCATATTGCATACGTTTAACGCTATACCTTGTGTGTATATACGGGAACATATTGCATACGTTTAACGCTATACATTGTGTGTATATACGGGAACATATTGCATACGTTAACGCTATACCTTGTGTGTGTATACGGGGCCATATTGCATACGTTTAACGATATACCTTGTGTGTATATACGGGGCCATATTGCATACGTTTAACCTATACCTTGTGTGTATATACGGGAACATATTGCATACGTTTAACGCTATACCTTGTGTGTATATACGGGAACATATTGCATACGTTTAACGCTATGCCTTGTGTGTGTATACGGGGCCATATTGCATACGTTTAACGATATACCTTGTGTGTATATACGGGGCCATATTGCATACGTTTAACCTATACCTTGTGTGTATATACGGGAACATATTGCATACGTTTAACGCTATACCTTGTGTGTATATACGGGAACATATTGCATACGTTTAACGCTATACATTGTGTGTATATACGGGGCCATATTGCATACGTTTAACGCTATACCTTGTTTGTGTATACGGGAACATATTGCATACGTTTAACGCTATGCCTTGTGTGTATATACGGGGCCATATTGCATACGTTTAACGCTATACCTTGTGTGTATATACGGGGCCATATTGCATACGTTTAACGCTATACCTTGTTTGTGTATACGGGAACATATTGCATACGTTTAACGCTATACATTGTGTGTATATACGGGAACATATTGCATACGTTTAACGCTATACCTTGTGTGTATATACGGGGCCATATTGCATACTTTTAACGCTATACCTTGTGTATATACACGGGAACATATTGCATACTTTTAACATATACTTTCTGTATATATACGGGAACATATTGCATACATTTATCACTGTATACCTTCTGTATACATGTGGGAACATGATGCATACCATTAACATATATACCTTGTGTGTGTATATACACTGTTTACATTGTGTATATATACGGGAACATTGTATAACACTGAATAACACTATATATATATATATATATATATATATATATATATATATATATATATATATATATGTTTTGCAATGGTACGTATTCAATTGTATCCACAGCTGTGCCGTGGTTTTCAAGTAATCATTATTTCGAGAAACTTAATCAGATCGTTGTTCAGCGATTCGGGCGAAATGGGAATTTTTTAGCAATGTAGGAATTATTTTCTGATATTATATTCTAATTAAAAAGTGAAATAAACATGTTTATGCCATGACGAAAACGATAACATGTGTGTCTGTTTGAAAATGAACGGATAAACATATTATGATTGAACAGCAGGCAACTGGCAATACAATTGTTTAAACCGTTTGTGCAAGCTTAAAATTATGGACAGGTCCCATTTGCATCATAGGAGAACGGTTTTCATGTGAGCCGTCCAACTCTGTAATAGCGCTCAGGGATAAGTGGACAGGTCCCAGTCAGTGTCTGGTGCATTGTGGGTCTAGTGGTCTGCAAGCGCGAGTACCATCCTGTCTATGGTGTTATTGAAATTGGACAAGTCTTTATAGAATGTTCCGATACTGAAAGGAATGCGACGGAAAGGATGTTTTAGTTAAGCATTGGTATTTGTCATTCACGTTGGATCTACCAAGACTGGGTTAGGTGTTTGTCTGTTCCAGCGATCGGATCACACTGATGTGTGCTTAAAGGAACATGACTTTTCTGTCGAGAGGTTAAATACCCACTCGGTGGTCTGTGTATTGAATAATGGGACCCGCTATCTTCTATGGTTGTCGTCTGCTTCAGTCGCTGCAGACGATACAACAATGGCGCCTTGCAGAGTATTATTAATTGCATGGACATCTGCGACATAACGATGTAATGACATAATGCATTGATGGAACGTATGCATGGGATTTGATCATGCTGGATGGGCAGACAGCAAAACACAGGACTTGCCTGTACGGGGAAGAACTCCTCAACTTAATGCAACTGTAGTTCCGTATGATGACGACTGTTTATTTACACGGAATTGTGTTTGGAGGTCTTTAAAGCTGTGAGCTGAGTATTGGCGGATCCGTTGACGTCTGTTCGTTATCCCATCATTGTTCAACCCACAAGTGTGTCGGTTTTCTTTTAATGCCATGGATGTCGCTTTTTCGCTGACCGTTAAAGCGAAAACAATGACGATGCATTGATTGTCTGTTGGAATTACGTCACAGACAAGATGAACGGTTCGTTAAGCGGGCAGTACGTGTAAGCTAAATAGCAGAATACCGGAGTCATATATCACTCCTCACATGGACTTCACTATGGAGACATTTCTCCAGAGGAACTTTCTATGCATATATTTCAGTGACCACTGGGAATCTCTTCTTCTGTCGTGTTGAATACGTTGATGAAGATGCGTGCTGCGTTTCATAGACATAGAAATTTGCTTTCGAGTTGAGGCGCAGGAACAAAATATATTAGACTTCCTTAAATGGCAACATACGCTCTCTTGTCTTTTCAGAGACGTCCATCATTCCCCCAGGGTGGCCTCGACTGGCATTTACATAGGAAAAGCAGTTCCAACAGATCGTCAAAGGTTACAGCAGCTACTCTAACTTTCGCCGATGACGATGACGACAACAACGACACCAGCGTCACTGGGTGCACGTGCCCGGACGACAAGAAGACGCCAAGTATGCTCACAACGGACGATAATGCAAACGATAAGAGTAGCAGGCAGCACACGTGCACGAACGTCAATTGTAAGAATTATCGACAACCCAAGCGACGTCAACACCGACGACGTTCCCGAGCAACCGTCGTCATCAACGTCGGCGGTCATCTGTTTGAGACGTACAGATCGACGCTCAGGCGACTTAAGAATTCCGTGTTGTCCGACGACAACCAGATGAGAAAGTTTTACCGTGCTGATACGGGGGATTACTTTTTTGACCGGGACCCTATGGCGTTCGGGTCGGTGTTGAATTACTTGAGGACTGGGGAGCTGCACATCCCCTCCAATATGTGCGGCCCCTCCCTCCAGAATGAACTGACGTTTTGGGGGATAGATGAGCTGGACATTGAGAGATGCTGTTGGACTCAGTACAACACTTGGAAAACCCAAAGTAGGTCACTGGAGAAATTGGAGTATGACCGGAAGTTGTCCACCACTCAAGACCCGGTGGCTGACAAGGATAACGTTGGATGTTGGACCCGGTACAGGTCCAGGTTGTGGACCTTCTTACAGGATCCTTCGTCTTCAAGAGGAGCCAAGGTAAGCATGATTTATCAGCGCATGTTACGTTGACCTGTTTCAGTCGTCAGTGGTGTTTATCTCACGTTGTTCTGATTGATTCATTTCCGTTTAAAGTGTATGCGTGTAGGGCAGGTTCGGGTATGTTATAATTGCATAATTTGGATTGGGCAAAGGAATTTGCAGGGCTTGTGTTTGATTGGTCCGGTAAATACATGCTTTGTAATCAGAACAACGTGACGTTTAGCCATCAGATCTCGATGGTGTGTTTCAATTCATGTCCAATCATACCAGTATGCTTGCATGAAGCTTATGGAATGTTTCAGAAAGCTGTAGCTATATAACCCAATCCATGTTAACCATACAATGTTTAAGTGCATACAAACGAGTTAGCATCGTAGTGTGTGTTTGCTTGTAACCCAGTCCGAGTTTCATTCAAGGCTAAAACAAATTGCGCTTTGAAAATACGAGTTATTACAAGGTCTCTGATTTCGACCGTTAGAGTTGTGAAGTACAAAAATGACGACACCGCCTCCGTGGTCTTGTGGTAGAGCGTCTGCCCGGAGAGCGGAAGGTCGGGGTTCGATCCCCGGCCGCGTCACACCAACATACGATTAAAAATGGTACTTGTTGTTGTGCCTGCCGCGCTCAGCATTTAGGGATCTAAACAAGGACTGGAAGGCTAGGAAGCAGTATACTGTGTCTGAGTGGGGTATTCATGTTAAAATTTTAAAATTCAGCACTCATCTCACTGGGCTAGCACTATAAAATCAACACACACACCATCATGAACATCGTTATATAAGTGTTATAATCCTGAACGCGACGTTAGACCCCATTGCGCCTCACCTCTCCTCACAGAAATGACTAAACCGTTTAAAATGTTACGCTGGTTATTGATAGTGTTTGAGACACTTCAGGACGTTTGACCGACAGATAGATGTATCCCATTTGAGTGGATCGATGCTCATGATAGCTGGTTTATGGCTGAGTGCGGCGTTAAACAACAGACAGACAGACAGACAGACAAATAGCTGGAAGGAGATCGAGCACAACGAGGTAGTCAGTTTGGTTAAAACACAGGATAAGAATATTCTTTCTTAATCTGATTACGGATAAGTCCGCGAAGCTGTAAAGAAATACACCAATTCTCAAATTAATCCTCATCTGCATCTCATTTGGAAACAAATATGTTTAAACTAGTAGCTCACATGAAAGAAAGAGCGGGTCCTGAAATAAATAACGTTTTGAAAAGATATAATACTTAGAGTTAATAATAAGAGCTCCTACGCTGCCAGAACAAATTTTATTTACTTTTCAGATCAAATTTAAAAATGTGAATAGTTTTGTTTGGCCCGTGTCATTCATTTCCATTTTAACGCTTGACCCAAAACGTGGGCATAAATATGTTATGTAAATTCTACAATGAATTTGGAAAGCTTCAAATTCAGTTACCACGGTTAAATCTACAGGTAACCTAGCTCTACATTGAAGACACAGTATGTTAGTCACCATTCTACCACGACGAAATTAAATGTGAATTCTTTGGTGTCAGTGACGGTTATGAGTGAAGTTTGGTTCTTAATACCACTTCTCCATAGTATAACGACTTTATATCCAGATGTATTTACATGTAATTGAAAACTGAAAGAACTGCTGATAAAGTTTGTTATGTGCATCCAATCAGAAGAATTGAATCAGCAACATGACCCCTGCCACGTTTGAAATTTTGTAAATATGTGCCAAAAAATGTAACTATTTTCAAAGCTAAGATAACCATCAACAGTTGTGTATTTTGCGAATTGTTTTTTTTTTTGCGAATTGCTTAAATCAAATTATTTTTAAAAAAATATAACCAAGTAGCAGTATTCTTTGAGTGCTGACAAAGCGACAGTACTGTTCATTTTTTAATATAACATCGCTAACTTAAGATAGTTTCAATTGAAAATCAAACACATGATAAAGTCAACTGAGAGGTGTATTTTCTTTTGCTGCTCAGTATATTAAATGCTCAAATTTTGGAACTGATCCAAAAGTGGCCCGAGCTGCGCACACAACAATCTCTGAGTCATCCGATGCAGCCGAAGTCTCTGCAGCAGCCCGTTCATTGAATTGCAATTCACGCTGTTGGCAATGAACCGTGGCATCAGACATTACCTGATTGTATGTGTTTAGTGTTATAATTTGAAATTAATCGATGTATGTTATGCACAATACCTTGGATGGTGTTTAAGCTTCGTTGGGTTTTGTGCCTATGGTATTTGAAATATGTCATACATAACAGATGCTTCAGCGATACTATGGAGATTATATACACGTTCACATGAACGAATGATGCAGATGAATTCATCATGTTCATTACTGCATGGACCCCTGAAGATCTAGGTCAGAATATGTCTTCAGCAACCTATGTTTGTGGTAAAAGGCGACTATGCTTGTCGTAAGAGGCGACTAACGGGATCGGGTGGTCAGGATCCCTAACTAGTTGATGCATGTCATCGTATCCCAATTCTGTGGATCGATGCTTATGATGTCAATCACTGGATTGCCTGGTCTAGACTCGATTATTTATAGGCCGCCGTCATATAGCCTGAATACTGCTGAGTGCGGCGTTAAACAACAAACAAAAACACTACTGGTGGAGTCAGTGTTAGTCACAGTAAAACGGTTCAGTCCCCGCACACCTCCTAGTTTGGTTCATGATCACTAGGGGCCACGGGTGGCCCAGTCGTCTAAGGCGCCGCAATTCTCTCTGCAGTTGCCTCCCTTGGTTATGGTTGTGGTTCGAATCCCGGATCGCCCCGATTATGTTTCTAGGTTTGTCAGCATCACTCTTGGGTTTCACCAAAGTGGCAAACATCTGAGACCTGCTTCACTTCGGGCTTTTCCCCCACATCAAACTGACATGCCTTGATATAACTAGAATGTGGTAATACCTCTCATTACGTACCAGTACATGAAGTAACATCATCTAGTCGAACATAGAGCAATGGGAATGACGACCGATATGTCTTATCACAAAACATCGACATTTCCAAAAAGGCCAAAGTGAATTATTTATAAATGTCCTTCAGTATACAATATTCAATATTCTGATCTCTTTTCCCAAGACCCGTGAAGATTCCGGGGTAGAATAGGTCTTCAGCAACCCATGCTTGCCGTAAAAGGTGACTCTGCTTGTCGTAAAAGGCAACTAACTGGATCGGGTGGTCAGGCTCGCTGACTTGGTTGATGCATGTCATCGATCCCAATTGCGTGGATCGATGCTCATGATATTAATCACTGGATTGTCTGGTCCAGACTCGATTAATTACAGACCGCCGCCATATAGCTGGAATATTGCTGAGTGCGGCGTTAAACAACAAACAAACAAATATTTTCCAAAACAAAGTGAACTACTTTTCGGTTCGGTTCTCTGACCATAAACGGGTTGCTGTGGGTTTTATTTACACAGACGTTAGTAGCCGCTAGAGAATGGGTGGGGACTGTTTGAACTACTCAGACCGAGACAATGGACATGAGTTCAACTCTATCAAACCATTCACATTCTATCAATAATCTCTCAGACATAATACTTTGGATACATTCGACTTGACTGGTACTACTTGGAAACATAACTTAGGTAGTCAATTAATAAATATATTATTAAAAGAATGTTTTCATATTGGCGGGTTGGCCCAGTCGTCTAAGGCGCCGCAAATCGCTGTACCGTGTTGCGTCCCTTCGGCAGGCCAGAAACCTATTTTAGTGGGTTCGAATCCCGGTTCGCCCCAATTATTTTTCTTGTTTTCTCAGCACCATACCCGTGCTCGTGGGTTTCACCAAAGTGGTAAGCGTCTGAGACCTGCATCACTTCAGACTTTCCTCCCAAATTAAGCTGACGCCATGAGATAACTGGAATACTGATTTAAGACCCAACTACTCACTCACATTGGTATTGTTAATGGTCTCCGCTAAGTCATACTGAACTCGACAGGCTACATTGCCTTGCTCGGGCCAAGACGGCCTCAAGTCAATATGAAAACACAAGGCCAATATGGAAACACCCAATAACATAGACGTATAAAATTAGTTCCCAATGCAAACCTTAACATCACAATGTCATGTATGCCGTAAACAAGTGTGATTTGCAATACCATAACCTACCATGTGTGCAAACAATGACGTTGTCTAGTCATTTCTAATGTCAATTTCAGAGCCAGTCATTAGAGACAGCTATTAAGGTACGTCCCTGTGGCCAGCTCCTTAACGGCCACGCCCACAATAGATTTACTAACGAATTTAATCTGGATTAGAGACTGATATAAGCCTTCCCCGTGTGTGTAAACCGTTATGATAACATTAAACTGTGTGTATTTTTGTTACGACCATACATCCCGCCCCACCCCTGCACCACCCTCCCCCTTCCACCCCCACCCCCCACTCCCGTCCATTGTATTCGTGGGTTCTTGAACCAATCAGATGTCTGCTTTCGAAACCTATTCGGCTTATTTTTTTTCTTAAAACCTTGATTCGTAAATTTCGTTACGAAAGAAACCCCACACGGAACATAAATATGCTTATGATAGTACACCCTTTTCGGAGCAGATGCTGTGGCGCTCAGAAACGACATGTCTAAAATTTCCACAATATAATCGTGTGGCAGACGCTCTATCAACTAGGCCACGGATGCCGTCTCTGTCCAATGATAAATTCACAGAATAATTAAACTAGTCAATGAACAACTAACCCCCAATAAACAGCAACACTTCCCAATGAACAGTAAAACTATTCAATGTACATTTAGATATCTCAATGACGAATTAAAATGTCAAATTAATAAACTAATACCAATAAATGATAACCAATTGACAATTAAAATACCTAAATAAAATTAAATTACCAAGTCAATAAAACATTCTTTGAAAGGCATTAAGAAGTTAAGGAGTATATAGTAAGAATAGGATTTATGGATGAACAACTTCTTTATCACAATTAAGAGCGACGTTTCGGTGTAGGTTCTAACATTTGCTTGATAACGG